GTCTTTGTAATCTTTTTACTTAAACAAATTTACTGATTATAGAATTATTTTTGTAATTAAGAAGGTGTTAATCGCAAGTAATTGGTTGAAGAGAACCTAGAAAATTGAATATAAGGATGGTACCTATATCATCTGTGGTGGGAAGGAATATAAACAATAGAAGTTCTATTTAAGATCAAAATTAACTACTTCACGATGGCTTGATGCCAGAGAAAAAAACACACATACTTCCGAGAAGAGGTTCTTGGTGATTCTATAAGAGTTCGAAAACACTTCGATTTTCGATACCGAGACAGGTGCAAACCATAAGGGTGGAGTTGATCTCATGAGCTTTCTTCAATCCTGACAAATTCAATCAGATGAACTAGAGTATTTACATGTAAGTATACACTTTCATTTCCCTCATTTGTCAAACAATTTTGTACTTTGTGTATCTGTGTTATTAAGAATTGAGTTTATTGTTGGGAAACAAAGTACTTCAGGAAAATTAACCAGCTTTTAATTAATTACCCAGATATAGATAACTAAAATTGAGAAGACGTTAAAATTTCGAAATCCCATAATAACATGTAAAAAAAAATGTAAAGCTTATTAAGTCTGCTATAAACTGTTATTATGTTGTTCATGAATCATGATCTTAAAATTCTTGATCGATATAATTATATATGCTATGAAGTACTAGTTTCAGAATATAATTGTATAATGATGTGTCCAGGTTAAGCTTTACGTTACAGAAAATATACCTCGTAAATTATAAACTACAGAATATTGAATTTTGTTTTACTATATATGTCTTCCATTTAGAATTTTGTAAGTAATATTATGGTCTCAATTATATGATATTTATAGTCAAAATCTCTTCTGTTATTGTACATTTTTTTAGTAACTCTCCTCTTTTTTAACTTAGATACAAAATCATCTTGTGAGAATTCTGGTCCGGAAAGAAAAAGAAATGGTGCTGACACTAACAGATCTAGACAATAAGTTATTCGAGCTGATACCCTTCACCTCCCCCTCGAGTTGTTGCATCTACAGAGTTCCGGAGCGTTTACGTCACATAAATGAAAGAGCTTACACGCCTCAGGTAGTCTCCATTGGCCCTTTTCACCATGGCAAAGAACACTTAAAATTTATGGAAGAAGAAAAACAGAGATACCTGAAAGAGTTTCTCGCGCGAACGAATATAAACTTGGGGGAGCTTGCTAACTTAATTACAGTCGATACAGAAGACAAAATACGAAGCTGTTATTCTGAAGCAATCCGAATGGATCGCCAAAAATTTGTTGAAATTATCCTGGTGGACTCCATCTTCATCATCGAAGTCTTGTTAAGGAACACCTACCCTACACTTCGAAATGAGAAACAAGATCATATTTTTAAGCAACCATATTTGCTACAGGACATTTGGTACGACATGTGGTTGCTTGAGAATCAACTTCCATTCTTTATTCTAGATGAATTTCTTAACCTAAACGAAGTTGCTGAAAAGATCCCAGTTGAGAATGATTATCCAACAGTCATCTATCTTACTTACAAATTCTTCGAGGATTTAGAGGCAGTAAACGGAAAATTACAGAAGTTGATTGATTGTAAGAAAGAAGTGAAACATTTCACTGATTTTCTAAGAATTTGTCATCTGCCATCTTATCTGCCATCGGACCCGCCGGGAGAAAAGAAGGTTATAACTGCGCCAAGCGTGACACAACTTCATCAAGCTGGAGTCAGGTTCGAATTGAGCGAAAGCAAGGAGTCATTCGACATAAAATTCGAAAAAGGTACATTGAAAATTCCACAACTTAAGCTACAGCTTGAAACTGAATCGTTGTTTCGAAATATGATTGCGTTTGAACAACGGCATTGCCCTGATAATTATATAAATGATTATGTTTTTATCATTCATCACCTTGTGAATACGCCCAAGGATGTGGAACTACTTGTCCAGAAGCAAATTATTGAGAATTGGCTGCCGGATAAAGAGGGAGTATCAACTCTTATAAATAACCTTTCAAGAGGGACTACTCTCAATCCCCATAACTTCTATTTTTCAAAGCTTTGTAAAGATTTGAAAGAGTATCGTGAGACAAGGTGCAACATGTGGAGGGCGAATCTGAAACAGAATTATTTTAACACTCCATGGGCTAGCATTTCGGTCATTGGTGCCATTTTCCTGATTTTGCTCACAGTTTTACAAGCCGTGTTTTCTGTTATCCAAGTGGAGTCTCAATCAAACAACTGCTGATTCTTGACTCGTCATCAATACCCTTTTTATTTTTTTGTTATCCTGTTTTAGTTTTTGTTTATTTTATCGTAGCACTGTTAAATTTGTTTTGTAATTTTACTGATACTTGAATCAAGTTTTTTTCATTTTTGCCAGTTAAATCTTTTTTTGTTTTTTTTACAAGTCAAATACTCATTCTAAGGGAAAAAAAAAATGCACTAGTGTAAACCTTTTGCCTAAGGAAAAAAAAAATTTGTAAACCTTTTGCGTTAAGGAAAAATCAGATTAGAAGAGGATATTGATGCATTTAGCCTATAAATGCACTAGCGTAAAGGAATTTGAAATTCAGAATAATGCAATCAAATTAATTTATTCTTCTTCAATCTTTCAGTTTGGAGAAAAGGAGAAAGACACACCGGGTAGAGGGAGAAAAGAAAAGATATAAAGAAGAGAAAGAAGAATAAAGAGTGTAAAGCTTTGAGCTGAAATTAGAACAGAGGATGAGAGTAAGAGAGAGAGAGAACGAGAAAAATCTAGAAACAAAATTTCAGGTGTATTTTATTATTTTCACTAACTGACAGAATGTAAAGTGCTTCTTACTTATACAAAAAGCTGAAGTCAAGTTGGGAGTAACTAACTGAGCTGGAATAATTGACTGTATAGTCAAAGGTTGGTCAACTATCAGTCTTACTAACATCCTCCCTTAAAGTGGACATCCATCACTTTGACTACCTTACTAACATCCTCCCGTAAAATGGACCTCCATACAGACTCTGTTTTCTATGACAAACCAACCTCAGCAACTCCAGACAATATCGCCAAATGGATCTCCATACAGATTACTTATGTATTTGAAAACTTAATATTACGGGAAGATTAAACTTTTAGAAGCTTCAGACCTGAACACTAGCAGTAGCAACCCTGAGCTAAACTTCACACCTGAGCAAGACTTCAAATTTGAGCTAAACTTCACATCTAAGCAGGACTTCAAATCACCACCTAGAGCTTCAGACCTGAATAACAGCAGTAGCAAACCTGAGCTAAACTTCACACCTGAGCAGGACTTCAAAGCTGAGCTAAACTTCAGTAACATTAGATACGAACATTCAACACCGTCAAATGAACTTACCATCACCAGGAGCTTGCACCATAAGTTTACCTCTTAGACGTTCAAACCTGGTCACTGACAGTGCTTTGGTAAAAATGTCAGCCTTTTGGTGTTCAGTAGGAACATATTGAATCTTCAGTTTATTAGCAGCTACTTACTTTCTTACATAATGAGCATCCAGCTCAATATGTTTAGTTATGGAGTGAAAAATAGGGTTGGATGCAAGAGAACCTGCACTCTGATTATCACACCAGATGATTGGAATTTCAGACAAGTTTAACCCAATTTCAAAAAACAGACTTCTAAATCAAGCCAACTCAGTTGAGCCCTGAGCAAGTGCTCTATATTCTGCTTCAGTGGATGACAGAGAGACAACTTTTTCCTTTCTAAAGCTCCATTGAAGTAGATTTGGTCCAAGAAACAAGCAACAACCACTTGTTGACCTCCTGTCCTAAAGACTACTGTTCCAATCAACATTAGTGTAACATTCCATTTTAAATATATTGATTTTGCTAAACTGAAGGCCATAATTCACAGTACCTTTGATATACCTTAGGAGCCTCTTACAAGCCCGCCAATGTAGTCGAGTAGGGGCCCTAAAAAACTGACTTAGCTTATTCACAGAGTAAGCTATGTCAAGCCTGGTCAGAGTTAGATATTGAAGAGCACCAATTGTGCTCCTATACATTGCTAGATTATCATGTACCTTACTATCTTCAAAGGTCAACTTTGTCCCAACAGACATTGGTGTGGGACAGGATTTAGAGTCCATCATTCTAGTTTTGACAAGCAAACCTTTTGCATATTTGGCCTAATTCATGTGGAGACCTACTTCATCTCGAGTGACTTCAAATCCCAAAAAGTACTTTAATGAACCTAGGATTTTGAGAGCAAACTGTTGATGTAACTTGTCAACAGTTTCCTTTATCAAAGTAGATAAACAAACTAGAATCTACAATGGAATTAACAAAACCCCAACTCAAGAATGCCTTTTTTAGCTTATCGAACCAGGCTCTAGGGGCTTGTTTAAGGCCATAGAGAGCTTTGTTTAACTTGCACACATGATGAGGATATTGATCACTCACAAAACCTTTAGGTTGAATCGTATGCACTGTTTTAGTTAACTCACCATTTAAAAAGGCATTATTCACATCCACTTGTTGGATATCCCTATCAAATTGAACTACTAAGCTTATGATAGCTCTAATGGTGGGAGATTTCACTACAAGGCTAAAGGTTTCCATGTAATCTATGCTAGGGATTTGTTGAAAACCTTTGGCCACCAATCGGGCCTTAAACCTCTGAATTGAGCTATCTGAATTGTGTTTCACTTTAAAAACCCATTTACAACCTACTAGATGCATATCTGGAGTAATAGGAACCAAATGCCAAGTTTGGTTAGAAAGCAAAGCATCAAACTCAGCTTGCATAACAGCTTCCAGGATGGATGTGTGAGAGCTTCTAATGTGGTTGCTGGTTCAATGGTGTTAAGGGTAGATGGAGTGACCAAAACAGAATTATGAACCTTGGCTTTAGCTCGTGTAATCATTGGATGTATGTTTGAAGGATAAGGTGAGGGGGAATCAACAGATATGTCCAACATAAGAGGGACAGTGTCATACGATTGTGCAGTGGATAGAGGAGAAAGTCTAGCAATGTTGTGTCTAGATGAAGATGACACTACTAAATGATCCTGATCATGTGAAGATAAAGACAGAGAAGGATTCTTGGAATTTTGGAAAGGCATCTGATCAGATGCTGAAGAACAAGGAAAGGATTGACATTGAGAAGAATGAGAATTACATTGTGAGTTGACTGAAGCAGAGCAAGGAATGTGCCAAACATTAAGTGTTTGATCAGAATCTATCAAGATTGTAGGAGGTTAGGCAGACTGAGAAGAATAAGCTGTAGAAGGTGACAATGTGCTTAAAAAAGGAAAGGTAGATTCATTAAACTTAGCACTTTGACAGACATACAACTTACCATTAGAATCTAGACATTGATACCCTTTATGATGTAAACTAAAACCAACAAATGTGCACTGAGCAGTATGAAAATTAAATTTATGCAGACTATATGGTCTCAAGAATGGAGACACTGCCTAGCCAAAGACTTTAATAATAGAGTAATTTGGAGGTTTGTGAAATAAAACCTGAAAAGGGGATTGATGGGACAGAATAGGAGAAGGTAATTTGTTTGTTAAGTAAGCAGCAGTATGGAAAGCAAACCACCAATATTTGAGAGGCATGTCAGCTTGAGCAAGTAAGGTGAGTCCCTATTCAACTAATTGCCTATGTTTTCTCTTAACTCTCTCATTTTGTTGATGAGTGTGTGGACAAGATGCCTAAACACTATACCATGCTCATTAAGGGAAGGAACTAGGCGAAAGAAACCAGGCGAAAGAAACCAATATTGATGCAAGACTAAAGCCACGAAAATCTTTGAAAGCAAAGTTAGAGGAGCTGCCACCATTGCCCCGTTCCTCAAACTGTTATATCTATAGAGTTCCACAGCGTCTATGCCAAGAAAATGAAAAAGCTTATGCACCTCAAGTAGTCTCCATCGACCCTCTTCACCATGGGAAACAACACTTAAAATCGATGGAAAAAGAAAAACAGAGGTACCTGAAAGAGTTCCTTGAACGGACTGGTGCAAAATTGGAGGATCTGCTCAACTTAATCACAGAAAAGGAACAACAATTGCGTAGCTGTTATGCTGAAGAAATAGAATTTGATCGTGAGGAATTTGTGGAAATGATCTTGGTGGATGCAATGTTCATCATTGAAGTGTTATTGAGGTCTCAGTTCCGAGATTTACAAAACCAAGAAGACCATATATTTGAAAAGCCATTTTTTATACAAGATATATGGTACGAAATATGGTTGCTTGAGAATCAGATTCCATTTTTCATTCTTCAGGATATTTTTAACCTGGAGACTATCTCTGAATTAGTGAAGAATTGGAAACCAATCATCGAGCTTACATACGAATTTTTCAAGAGTTTAGAAGCAGTAAATGGCAAATTAAAGAAGTTCGAGAACAATAACGTGGAAGTGAAACATTTCACTGACTTTATAAGAACTTGTCATCCACCATTAGTTAAATCGGCTCCACGTCCAAAGAAAAGAAAAGTTGTAACTGCACCAAGTGTGATCCAACTCAACCAAGCTGGAGCGAAGTTCAAAAAGAGCGAAAGCAACGAGTCATTTGATATAACATTCACAAAGGGGAATTTGGAAATTCCACAGCTAAAACTTCATCTTGAAACTGAATCTTTGTTTCGGAATTTGATTGCTTTTGAACAACATCATTACGTGGATAATTATATTAACAATTATGTTTTTATCATCAATCATCTTTGCAATACTTCGAAGGATGTTGAACTGCTTGTTCAAGAAAAGATTATTGAAAATTGGTTGCCGGATAAAAAGTGTAGGTTTTTCAGAGTTCAATTAGCTAAGAGAAAGAAGGGTTTTCGTGCATGAGAGAGCTAAAACAATGAGAGTGTAAAAAATACTTTTCAAAAGACTGTGTTTTCATTCACAAAACAGAGAGATATATGGACATACTGCATCACTATTACAACAACTTTTCAGTAAGAATAATCTTTAAATATAATACAGTCTAAACTACTCTTAACTAACACAAATTGCAGTGAGATATTCTGGCCTTAATCATCGGCTGTCTTCACCTAAAACATCACACATTACATTTCCAAATTAGACAAAAACTGCACTTGATAGACAACCCCTTTTTTAGCTCAAATCTAGTGCCAACAATTCAAACTAATTTGCAAAATAGTTTCCAGCAAAATATCATTTACTTTAACACTCCTCCTTGATATTTTTGCTGGAAACTCCAAATTTGAATCTTAATTCTTCAAACTTGGATCAGTCACAGGATTTGGTCATTATATTAGCCACTTGCTCTTCTCCCTTGCAATGAATCAGCTTTACCTTACCATTTTGCTCTGCCTCTCTTACTACATGATATTTGATTCTGATGTGCTTTGTGCGACCATGGAGAATTGGATTCTTGGACATAGCAATTGCCGATCGGTTGTCACAATACAACACATTACCTTGAGTCTGTTCAAGCCTTAAGTCCTTTAGAATTTTTCTCAACCAAACCAATTGGTTGACTGCAACAACAGCAGCAACACACTCATCTTCTGCAGTTAATTGTGCTACAACTTCTTGCTTTTTTGAATTCTAGTTTATGGCACCTGCATTCAAGAAAAAAACATATCCAGAGGTACTTTTCATATCATCCAAGGAGCCACCCCAATCACTGTCGGTGAAACCATATAAGCTAAGATTTTCAGCTTCCTTGAACCAAATTCCCAGGTCTGGACATCCTCTAATATACTTGAGGACTCTTTTAGCTGCTTGCAAATGCAACTCACTTGGTTCATTCATGAACCTAGAGAGTAAGCTTGCTGCATACATAATGTCTGACCTTGTTGCAATCAAGTACAACAAGCACCCAACTATGCTTCTATACTTAGTTTCTGCAACCTTAGTAGCTCCATCATTTTTGCACAGCTTTAGATATTGCATCAGAGGTGTGTTAACAGGTTTGCAATTCTCTATTGAAATTTTTTTGAGAAGTTCATTAGCATACTTCTTTTGGGAGATAAATATGACATTAGGAGATTGCCACACTTCCATTCCCAAAAAGAAACTTATCTCACCTAATTCCGTCATCTCAAATTCCTTGTGCAACTCATTTTTGAAATCCTACAGCCATGTAGAATTGGTTCCAGTCACCAGGAGATCATCAACATACAAGGATACAAATATTCTTTCATCATCAATCTCTCTAACATATAGGGTGTGCTCATTTGGACTTCTTTCAAATCCCAAACTTATCAAGAATTTATTAGTTCTGCCGTACCAGGCCCTAGGGGCTTGTTTTAGGCCATAAAGAGCCTTCCTAAAGAGACACACTTCATCCTTTTGCCCTTCAACCTTATACCCTTCAGGTTGCTCCACAAATACCTCTTTATTAAGCCACCCATTTAGGAAGGTAGACTTCACATCCATTTGGAAAATTTTCCACTTGAAATGGGCTACAATTGCAAGTAGAATTCTGATGGTGTCATGCCTTGTAACTGGTGCAAAAGTGTCAGAGAAATCCACCCCAAACTGCTGTGCATAACCCTTCACTACAAGCCTTGCTTTCTATATGTTAACTGAACCATCTGGATTCAGTTTCTTCTTATAAATCCACTTCACCTACATGATTTTTCTTCCAGCAGGTCCATTTACCAGGTCCCAGGTTGCATTCTTCTCAATCATGTCAAGTTCTTCTTCCATTGATGGCCTTCACTCCTTAACTTTGGCTGCTTCAGCATAACCAGTTGGTTCCATCAAAACCAAGTTATATCTCTCATAAATTTCTGCCAAAGTTCTAGTTCCCCTAACTGGAGAATCTGCTTCAGAATCAAAACTAAAATTTGAAACATCCTGACTATTTGTTAAGTCTCCTCCTTGCTCCAGCATCTTTTTCATCTCAAATTCGTTTCTGTCCCAGTGCCACAACCCTTCTTCATCTATTTCACGTCTCGGTTAACCAGGAATTTCTTGGTCTTAGGATTGTAAATCCTATATGCTTTGGACAAGCTGCTGTATCCAACAAAAATTCCAGTTTCAGCTTTCTCATCCAGCTTACTCCTCTTGTTGGTTGGAATATGAGCATAACAGATGCTTCCAAAAACTTTGAGGTGGTTGATGCTTGCCTTTACTCCATACCAAGCCTCAAATGGTGTTTTTTTGTCAAGAGCTTTAGTTGGCAGCCTGTTGAGTAAGTAGACTGCTGTATTTACAGCTTCTGCCAAAAAAATTTAGGAAGTTTTTTTTTCTCAAACAGCATACACCTTGCCATCTCCATTATAGTTCTATTTTTTCTTTCACTCACACCATTTTGCTGTGGTGTGTAAGGAGTGCTTAACTGGTGCTTTATTTTGGATCCTAGACAAAGTTCTTGCAACTGATTTGAGGTATACTCTGAACCATTATCACTCCGGATGGTCTTCAAACTCAAACCAGTTTCTTTCTCCACCATTTGCTTAAACTTCATAAACATTGCAGCCACCTCTCCTTTTTGTTTCAGAAAGTAAACCCAGAACAACCTAGTGAAATCATCTATAAACAGAAGAAAATACCTGCTGCCATTTAGAGAAGGCACCTGCATGGGACCACACATATCTGTGTGTATAAGTTGAAGCTTTTCAGCAGCTCTCCAGGCTTGATTTGCTAGAAATAGTTGTCTACTGAATTTCCCCATTTGGCAGACTTAACATACCCCTTCTTTCTCCTCAATTTCGGGCATGCTTTGAACAAGGTCTCTCCTCCTCATTTTCTTAAGACCTGTGTAATGAAAATGTCCAAGTCTTTTGTGCCAAATTTCAGTTTCAACAAGTTTGGCAGACAAGGCTTGTGAAGCTGAGTTTTTCCATTCAATTGGAAAACTTTTCCCTAGCATTCTCACATTCATCAACTCATTGCCTAAATTATCTACTACAATGCAAGACATGTTTTGAAAATGCAAAGAGTAGTTCTTTTCTAGCATTTGACCCATACTCAGCAAACTTTAATTAATTTCAGGTACATAAAGGACATTTGAAATACATTTAGTACCTGATGGAGTTGGGACAATAACATTACCTCTTCCCTTGACTTCCACAAATTCTCTATTGCCAATCTTGACTTTGGAATGGAAAAGCTTATCTATACTCACAAAGCTTGACAGATTTGGGGTCATATGGTTTGTACAACCACTGTCAATCAGCCATACATCATCACACATCTTCTGGTTTGTGCATGAGGCCTTGAAAAGCTATTCAGTTTCTGGACTTGGTTGCTGGACCTCTACCACTGCAGCCTGCTGCTCCTATTGATTCCCTTTGTTTTTACACACTTTTTCTATGTGTCCAAACTGTTTGCATGACCTGCATTGTATGCCAGGTCTGAACCAACACTTATATTCTGGATGGTTCTTCTTTTTGCAGTGCAAACATGGAGGATATGGTCTTAGTCCACCACGTTTTCCTCCTTGATTGTTGCTCTTCTCTTTTCCCTTCTTCTCACCACCATATTTCTTGTCTTCCCTTCCATGTACTCTTCCTTTCTGACTTGCAAACATGGCTGCCTCAGTTGAGTCTTCTAGCCTTAGTTGCCCTCTTTGTTCCTAGGCTTGAAGTGAATGAACCAGCTCAGCCAAGCTGATTTGGGACAGATCTTTAGAGTCTTCTAGGGACTAAATTTTTGCCTCAAACCTTTCAGGTAAGCTGACCAGGACCTTCTTCACTACCCTCTAGTTGGTTAGTTCTTCCCGTAATAGTTTAATTTTATTCACCACAGCCATAAGTCTGTCCACATATTCCTTGACAGATTCAGCCTCCTGCATCTTGAGTGCTTCAAATTCTCTTCTCAAGTTTAGAACTTGCATATTGTGTGTCTGACTACTCCCTCCAAACTCCTCCTTGAGGGTGTCCCAAGCTTATTTAGGGGTCTCATGATAAGAGCTTGAATGTTTATATTTTTTTAGTGATTTAATTGCTAATTTATGGAAAAATGTGTTTAAAGTGTGGAATTTGAATTAATTCTTTCATAAATACCTTTTACGGGATCACGGGTGTATTTTGAGTATTTTCAGGTTCAAACCGATATTTGAAGGAAAAAGAATGATGTTGATGGAATTCGTGACGAGTAGGAACAAACGGTGCAAGAATCGGAGTTGAAACGAGAAAGTTGTGATGCGTCGAAATTACACCGTAAAATCTGGAAATCCTTCAAGATGAGCATGCTTCGATGTTTTGATCATAACTTGAGCTGTGGTAATCGGAATTTGATGATTCTGGTGGTGTTGGAAATCTTATTCAAAGAGATAAAATATTTGTGTTGATGACTTTACCAAATTCTGAAGATTACGGATGCCTTGGACAGAAAGAACGATCACCGCAGCGACCATTATTACCGCCGCGGTGATGGGTCACGGGTGTGTGTTAATTCATTACCCTAATCCGAACCTGAATGGGCGAAGTTTTCTAATCTTTTTCCTAAGCACGATCAGAACCCTAGGGAGATAAAAGAGGGTCTTTAAGAAGTTAAAAGGAGATTGGAAGGAGGAGAAAGGACGGCTACTACTTTGGAGATCGGAATTCTTGCGATTCTCGATCACAAATTAGAGAAGTTTTTCTATTTTTCTTTCTTGAACTTATGTTTTTTAATACAATGGTTTTTTTTATTACTGTAATTATGAACTAAATCTCTTTTCTAGGGCTAAAGATGTAGCCCAATTTATGAATATGTGTTGATTTAATTTGTTGTTAATTCTTATTAAGCATTTAATTCTAAGTTTTATTATTGTGCATAATGCTTTCAATTCTTAAGGATCCGAGAGTTGAATGATATCATGGGTTGGGTTGAGATCGAGAGATGAAACCTGATTTGTCTAAGGTAATAAAACCATAGATTGAGCG